CTACTCCTAGGTAGGGAGCGGCCAACAAAAACCTGAACCGGCCAAGCTAGAGGCCGTAGCCAAATGGCCAACCCCACGTACTAAGACCCAAGTCCTAGCTTTTCTGGGTACCACAGGGTACTAACAAAAATTTGTACCCGATTACAGCACCCTGGCCAAACCACTCACCGACCTAACCCGCAAGAATCTCCCTAAGGTAGTAGTCTGGGCCCCAGAATGTGAACAGGCATTCCAACAACTGAAAACTGCTCTTGTTAATGCACCTGTACTTGCTGCTCCTGATCCAACTAAACAATTTCTTGTCCATACAGACGCTTCTATGTTTGGATTGGGAGCAGTGCTGAGCCAAGTCGGAGCAGATGGCGGCGAGCATACAGTGGCTTACTTAAGCAGAAAACTTTTCCCCCGGGAACTAAGCTTCCCCCATCGAAAAGGAATGCCTGGCCGTGGTGTGGGCCCTTAAAAAGCTGCAGCCCTATTTATATGGACAACCATTTTCCTTACTCGCAGATCACAACCCATTTGTGTGGCTGAACAGGGTGTCAGGAGACAATGCCAGGCTGTTGTGCTGGAGTTTGGTGCTGCAGCCTTTTGACTTTACTATCCACTACCGACTTGGGAAGCAAAATGGCAACGATGACGGGTTATTCAAACTGAACTTGAAAAATGATCTGTGAGTTCTCCTCTGGACATCCCCAAGCCGACCTGTTAGGATCAGACTATGCATGCCGACTTGGTTCTGGGGGAGCATTGTGGCAAACCTAGCCACTTAAGACTGTAATTACCTTTATGTGATATGGTTGCTTTAAGACTGTCTGAAATGTTCATATTCCCTATTTTGTGTTATATGTAAAAGAGAGCATTAGTATGCTAGCGGCACGAAAGCCACAAGCATTTATATGGTAGTTTCACAAACAGTTAATTTCACCACTGTTCGTGAAACTAACAAATTGCCGAATGGGAGAACACACAACGGGGGTTGTGTGTCTCCCATTAACTATTGCTACAATGTATCTCCAGTTCACTAATAAGTTTCATGGGTGGCCGTCGTTCGTATGCCGAACACGTGGCGGCGGCCATATTTGTTCACGAAAGCCCAACAGTGTTTGGTCGTCGAGTGCCTGGAACTAAAATCAGCCACTCAACTTCACGAACCCCGCTGGACTTCCAGACCATCCAAATAAATTATTATTTCGGCATATTACTGCTCTCTGTGAATTCTCACGTTATACTGCCTGTTCGGCTAAAGTTTTCATTCTGACCAGTATTTCACCAGATGGTGCGCTCAGATCCCCACTATGCAAGGAGGAGTCATTCGACTAATTCAACCCAGTATTTTACTAGTTATGTATTTTCATGTAAAATTGTATGTTTTTCTGTACGGAGAGATAATGTGATTAACAATAGATTCTTACACAAATATCTCTCCTGTACAGCATAGCCTGATGGGAAATAGCCTTGCAGGCTCAGTTCACCACACAGTCCCTGTAGCAAAACCCCTGCAATGTCATTAGGGAAACCCCTTGCATGGGGACTTGCATAAATACTGTGACCGTGGAATAAAATCTCAGTTGACTCCCAGACTATGTGTCGTCTAGTTCTTGGGAAGGAGGGATATTTACTACACTTCCTGTGATTTCTATGCTGATTCCTGACTACCAGCGGAGATACTACTCCTCTACAGAAGTGCTCACCATTAAGGATCTGGACTTTAAAACTATTAAGTCCCAAACATTTGTCAAACTCAGACTGAAGGACAAAGAGACAGAATTCATATTGGTCAATTCTGAAAAAGTGTTTCAGATACTTTAAGAAGAAGAGGTGGATCGTTTCCTTGCTCAAAGAAGGGTGTAATAACAGAACCATTTCTCGGCTAGTCATAACCTTTCTATTTCCATGGAGTTAGTCAGACACTTTGCAGGTTCTGATAGAATATTGGTCCCTGGGATGGTAAAATAGCTAGCAATATCCACTGTGTTTCTTGGGTGAATGATAGGAGCCAGGTGGAACCAGCGCCTCCAAGTCTAATATGGAAGAACTGCAATTATTTCTACTTTCTCCTTTTAAACTTTCTTGAGTAGAGAAAAAAATTAGTGGAACTGGGGCTCGTGGCTGCCCAGGAGAACACTCTCTCCGGCGGATGCCTTAGTGTGGGTATCCACCAGAGAGAGGGACCTGCGCCAGCAGGGAATCCCTGGGGCTGTGAGTCGGTCTCACGGCCGCAGGGTTCCCGCTGGCCGCCTGACTGATGGGAGAAGCAGCACCCATTCAAACTGGGTTCAAGTTAAGGAAGGTGCTAAAATGAATAAAGTAAAAGAAGTGTTACTTTTTCATATATGAAATACGGTAACCCTAAAATGAAGACACCTAAGGTATAAATAGGTGTATTTTTAAATGTTAAGACAGAGGAGAGACTTGGAGACAGATGCTGCTCCATCTTAAAATGACAGAGAGGCTGACATGATCAGGAGGGTATGTTAACCTATTAATGATATTTGCAAGCATTTAGTTTAATCTTATAAACTCGTCTATAATGGATTTTATATGTCTATATTTATATTTTTATATAATAAATATCTAAAAGACAAAACTTTATTGCTTCCAAGACAATCCTTATTTTATATTGTATTCTCAATTATTTATATATGTTAAATAGAGGATCTCTTACACTAACTATATAAAATTATGGCTAAGATATCTGTATGGTTAGCCCTGCTAAGTTCTATGCTTTAAGACGTTATAGTGGTTGTGGCGAAAGGGACCTCGCCATTGGTTTTTGGAGGGGACTGATTG